CCCAGCCCAGCCCCAAGGTGATAAACCCCGTGGTCATTTCATCCAGGAAGATGATCCGTGAAGCCCTCGCTCCGGCGAAAGGCAGCTCCTGCCCGCCTGTCTGTGCGGGCGTGTGTCTTCCCTTGCCTTCCTCCTGTAATAAACCTGCCTTGTGCTGATGAACGGGCACATCTGCATTCTTTCTCGGAGGGACCCAAGAGCCCCACGCACCAGACCCAGTCATCCGAGTGCCATCGCGTATGTTCTAAAGCCCAGGATTCTCTTCTCAGCCGTCGCAGCCACCACAACCAGGGGGTTGCAAGGGATGCGATGCTCGTAGCAAACCCACTGTCTGAATTCAAATGTCACCAGCTGCTCCAGTGATGTCCATCTGGGGTGGTGGGGGGTGCCTTGGTACCCAAGCAAGTTGCCATGGCAACACAAGCTGGTGGCCAGGTCAGCAGGCAACAGCTCAGATGAGCTTGGGTCGGGCCTCCTGGGAGCCAGCCCTGGAGAAGGTGCTCCAGAAAGGGGAGGGGGCGAGCCCAGAGGGAGAGCACAGCCAGACCCCACAGGAAGGGAGGGGCAGACCCAGGGGAGGGGTGGGTCCCCAGAGAAGGGCAGGGCTCCCTGGGAAGGGGTAGGCATCCCCACGGGTTTGGAGATGGTACTGGCCCTGGGCAGCGTGAAAGAGGCCACATTGCACTTGCAGGCTAAATTGTCACATGGTGTGAGTTTGTGTTTTCCTTTTTTTTTTTTTTAAAGATTTATTTATGTATACAAGAACTGGGGTACAAGTCAGAGGTGTGGGAGGGTGAGAGGATTCACTAGAGAGAGCCGGGAGCAGAACAGGCAGATGGACCCAAGACACTGCTGCGGGGAGCAGCGGGCGAGGCAGGAGAGGTCTGCCGCGCCATGTGGGTAGCTCCCTGGCCGGCCGGGAATCGAACCCGCGCTGCAGAGGCTGCGGACAGCTTCACTGCACTGCGCTCAACCCGCTGCGCCACCTGGGAGGCCCCATTTGAAGCCCATCTTGCAGGACTCACCTGGGGGAGGCTCACGGGTGGCGATGCCGGCAGCTCCGGGTCCCCGAAAACGCGCCCGCGGGGAGTCCCGATCCTCGTGCGGGGAGCGCCACCTGGCGGGCAGCGCGCGGTGCTGCTGCTCCCTCTGCGCGGGCGGACTCTGGATTCCTTCCTTCCCCAAGTTACTCTCGCTGGTGGAGCTCATAATTTAATGCCTAAAAAGACACTGAGTCTGCTAAAAGTGCAATGGAAAGGAAGATCATGATGCTGTGAAACGACAACAACAAAAATTCCTGTGGATTTAGGTATGGAATCAAGGAAGCCACTTCAGCGCGGGGGTCGGGGAAGCCTTCTAGAAGTGGTATTTCAGGAGAATCATGGAAAGTGAGGGGAGGGAGCTCCCGGATTAGGCTCCTGCAGGCCAACGTGGCACTGTGACAAGCTCAAGCAAGACAGAGGGGGCGGGTTCAGGTTTGCATCATGCATAACAGAGCCCCCGAGTTAGAGGCCTGACGTTGTGAAGGTGATTTTTTTATTTCCCATGATTGCGCATCTGGGCTGAGCCCCGCGGGACAGCGCTCTGCTCTGCGTAGGGCCTGTGCGGATTGGGAGATCCAGAGGGCCCCATCCCTCACTGCTCCGCGGCAGTGCTGGGAGGAAGGGGCGCTGGCTGGGCATCTTCCCTGTGGCAGCCGGGGCTGCTGCTCAGCCTGGTGGGTTCAGCTCTCGGCTTCTTTCCTTGACAACGGGGACCAGTGGGGCTGCACCCCAGGCCTCCCTCCCTCCCGCGCTGTCAGTCAAGCTACTCCTACCGGTTTTTTTTTTTTTTTTTTTTTTTTTTAAATTTTATTTATTTATTTTATAGAGGCATGTTTTTTTTTTTTTTATTTATTTGTTTGTTTGTTTTTTTTTGTTTATACATGCACTGGGTACAGTCAGAAGCACGGGAGGGTGAGAGAATTCACCAGAGCCAGAGCCGGGAGCAGAGCAGGCAGAAGGACCGAAGGACACTGCTGAGGGGAGCAGCGGGCGGCAGGAGAGGTCTGCGCGCCATGCGGGACCCTCCTCCGGTGGCCGGGGAGCAGCCAGGGATCGAACTGGCGCCGCAGAGGCCGCGAGCAGCTTCGCAACCCAGCGCTCAACCGCTGCGCCACCGGGGAAGCCCTACTCCTACCGGTTTTAAAGAAGGATTCTCCTTCTTGTTGGGTGGCACGTCCTGAGAGCGGGCATGGGAGGAGTTGATGGCAGTTAGGTCTAGGGGCCAAATCCCCGGGGATCCAGAAAGTGTGTGAGTGTGGCGGGCAGGGTACCAGGTGCTGGTCCATGCTCTGCCACCTTGGGCCCAGTGATTGATTTGAGCCCAGTGAGACCCATTTTTGACCGCTGCCCTTGAGAACTGTCAGTGCTTGTTACTGCTGTTGGCCTCGAAACGTGTGGTGATTTGTTGTGCAGCAACAGAAAACGAGTCAAGTTGGGATCCAGTGTTATTTCTCGCCATGTGCAGGCCCCGGGTCCCAACACCGTGCAGCGACTCTCCCTTTCAGTTTTGGTTTGGGTTATCTGACAGGGTTTTGTGTGTGGAAGCTCATCTTTGTCTTTTGGGAGATTCTGTGGGTGTACACAGGGGGATCATTTTCAGCCTCTTAGGAATTTTGCTTCTGGGGGGTTTCTTGGGTGTATATTGCAATAGTTTACACAAATTTGCTTTTGGTTCAAGAGCAGGTGAGCCTTCTCGTCCTAGGATTGTGCATCTGGGCTGAGCGCCACAGGACAGCGTAGGGTCTGGCCGGCTCGGCCAGTCTGGCTGATTGGATGAGGTTCCTCTGCCAGCCGGCGTCTCCCGGACAATGGTCTCTCTGCGCAGGAGGAGCAGTGCGGAGCAACCTCCGGGCCAGCAGATGGTGCTCACGGCCAACTGGATGTAGAAGGTGGCGCTTTAGACTCATGCCCTCATGTCAACTTGATGGGAGAAGGTGGAATTTTTCAAACTCCGCCACCTGAGTGGGGCTGATGGGAAACAGGGCAGAGCTGAGCTTTCGGGCAGGTAAACTGCTGGACTCTTGGTAGTTAAACCCCCTGGGCTTTTGGGCAATGAAGCTGCTGGGCTCCGGAAGCAAAGCTGCGGGCGAAGAGTGGTGCCTTTGGAGACTCCTGCCTGAGGGTGCCTGGAACAGCCTGGGTGTGGACCTCGGTCTCTGCTCAGTGTGTTAGGGGGAAAGGATGTCCTAAAGCTAATTCCACACAGGCTTTGTGGACTCCACCCCCACCCTAGGCCGCAACCTGTTCCATATCGGGGCTGCCCTATAACAAGTGGACACTATTGGAGAATAGGACAGACAGCATCTGGCCACACGCCAGCCTGTCAGTTCTCTCCCCCGCAACTCCCCTTTCTGTCTCTCGCACTGTGCTGCTTGGGGCTGTGTCCGGCATTCGAGCGTGCAGGCGAGGACCCCGGACCGGTTGTCCCCTGGGTTTGCTCAGGGTCAGCACGACAGACCGTGTGTGGCCTCACGCCGGCCTGCGAGTCTCTTTCCTCCCTCTCTCCGTGTTTCTGTCGCTGCCTCTCTTTCTCCCCAGGTAAATAAACCCTGTCGTGGTTGTTTTGAAGCAGTGCTTGCCTGCGCGCAACTGCAAGACCACTCAGGGCTCAGGGCTCAACGACATCAGGGTTTAGTTACCAAGGAGAGAGAAGCTGGGAGAAAGGAAAAAGTTAGAGGCAAAAAGTTAGAGGCAACTGTTGCCAGAAGCAGTGGTGACAGTTCTAAGGTCATGAACGACTCAGGTCGGGAAGGTCTCGCGGGTCTCAGCTGAGGTGGCACCACAGCAGCCGGCAACAGCAGTCCAAAGGCCGGGCCGGGCAGCACTGGACAAGGACAGCCACACCAAAGGCATCACAGCAGGGGGTGGTGCCCGGTGCATCAGAGGGACCCGTGTGACCGCGCTCAGGGGTGCTGGGCACAAAGCCCACAGCAGCCAGCTCTTTAGAGATACCTAGGACAGGACAAGTGGTGCCTGTCAGCGGGCAATGCCAGGGGCAGGCTCGGAGCTCAGGCCGGGGAAGGCGTGGTGCCAGCGGACAGGGTTAGTGTTAGAGCCCATCGCGGGCCTTCCCCATGAAGCCACCTCTCCAGCTGCCTCTTCAAGTCCTCTTCAAGCTGGTTGGAGCCTGACTTAAATATGCACCAGGGTGCCCACTTTTGAACCTGTTTGGTCTTTTTAGTTGATTGACACGCATGGGAGCTCCAGTCGGCATTGGGAGGTGTACGGTCCTCTGTTGCACCGCACCAGAAGGGGCTGAGGGTCTGCACTACTCTGCACAACTGCCAAACAGGAGGGGGTTGGTCTTACTGCAGCTCTTTGGTTGGTGCTGGTCAAGCTCCAGTTAAATCGGTCCATTCTGAGGTGCAGCCTGGAGCCTGATACCCCGGGGAAAAGTCCAGCCCCGGCCCAGACTGGACCTGCCTGAGGCCAGGCAGGCGCCGAGGAGCTCAGCGGGTCAGAGGCAACTGTACTGGACATCCCTCGTGGGCCTGGTGCTCATAACTTAGGGGGCCCTGCTTCTGCTTCACACCAGGCCTGCTCTCGGGTCCCGACCTGCTATCAGGCTCCAGGCTGCACCTGCTGCACCTACGCGGGTGAGGGCCGGACCCACCGACTGGGTCAGCCCTGTTTCCCTGGGTGTGTCCCTTTTCACGGGGACACAGGGAGACCTGGGGCTGGGCGCTTTCCTGAGCGGTCAGGGGAGGTGGATCCCACCGAGAAGTGCGGGCAGAGGGCCAGCCAGCACGGAGGCCCGAGGCGGGGGTGCACCGAGGGTGCGTATGGAGCAAGAGGAAGCCAGACAGGAGCGGACAGAGGCAGGGGCCACAGTTAGGGCAGCGATGGCCCCACACACAGCCTCGTTGGGCCCCCACCAGGGTCCTGAGAGTGTGCGGGCAGCGGAACGTGGAGCCGGAACACGGGCGGGACATTCTCGTGTCGCCAGGCGACCGCAGACACACTTGGGTGTGGAGGGAGCGAGGCTGCAGGTCCAGGGGAGCTGCTTATGGCAGACGATCAGCCAGGCTCACTAAGCAACGCCCACAGCGGCTCAGAGACCAAGGCCCCGTCTGAGGGCGGCCAGGAGGATGCCCTGAGCCTCCAGAGGACGGTGTTCGAGAGCCCTGGGTCCAGGGACTCGATCAAGTCCCAGGACCTGGAGGATGCGGAGCTGGGGTACGAGGTCCAAGAGGAAGAGGCCCTCCCGGAGGAGGAGGTGAACGCAGAGGAGTTCCTGGATGACCAGAGCCCAGAAGAGGCCGCTTCGGGGCAGGAGCTGGATCTGGACAAGGATCTGGACAAGGACACGGAGGAGGCCGTGCCTGAGATGAGGTGGGCAGCCGGGGCAGGGGTGAAGTACCAGGGGAGGGAGGCAGGCTTGAGGGGGAGGGGCGGCTGGTGGTGCGGGCGGCCCGGACCCTGGTGCAAAGGCCCTGCTTCCCCCGGTTGGGGGCCCCTGGGGGCGCTCCTTGTAGCCCCCTCTCCTCTGGGGCCGGCCTTGGTATGTGTTGGTGATGAGCAAACCTTGTCTTATTTAATAATCGCAACAATCCCGGGAGGGTTTTTCCCTTTCACGGAGGGGGCTGACCGGGGTCACCTCTGCCTGGTGGTCCAGGTGGGTCTCATCCGGGTCCTTGTGATGGCAGCGCTCTCCCCAGAGAGCTCCCTGGACGGAGAGGTCAGGGGGCGACGGGGTGTGGCAGTCGAGGCCTCTGGGTCTCCGAGGTGGTGACCTTAGCCTCCCGTTCTCCCAAAGCCGGCTGTCCATTTCCCCGGGGGTCCCCAGCATCTCCAAGCCCAGGTGCAGGAGGCGGCGGAGGATCTATGACCTGGCTAAGCCCAAGATCAACTGGCAGGTCCTGAAAAACAGGTGAGGTGGGCGGGGCTGCGGGAGGGAGCGGCCCTTGGCGGTCACCCTGCACCCTCCCCAGGCCACCCACGGCTCCATCTGTCACCCAGACGATGCCCTTGGGGGGGTGCCAAGGGAGGTCGGAGACTGAGGTGGGGCCTGCGGGAGCACGGCGGCTCGTGGGGGCCTGTCTTGCTGCAGGAAGGCCTTCTGCTGTCAGGGGTTCACCTGGGTCTCCCCGCGCATGAAGAGCCTGCAGTTCTGTGTCTACTGGTGAGTCCCGGGGCAGCTCCTCCCCACTCCTGCCATGTGGGGGGGTCCGGTCACTTGATTTATGCTCCTTCTCTCAGGGACAGGGTGGGTGACAGGCTCCCCCCTGGGGGCTCCCTCCCCCTGCGCTCTGGACTCCCCTGCTGGCCCCGCAGTGGGCCTGTGCCCGCCGAGGGCCCTGGCACTCCTCTTAGTTATGCCTTTTTTTCTTTCCAGCTCCCCTTTCTCTGAACATCAGCCCTGCTCAAAATAATCTACACCCCAGCCCCAGAGCTCCTTTGTGCTGCTCTCTCCCACCACCCCTTCCTCCCTCCACCAGCAACCCCGCCCCGCACCACCGTCTTCCTGTCTGTGTTTTGGGGTGCAGAGCAGGGCACGGGAAGTCTGTGCCTGGCTTCCCTCACCCTGAGCCATGCCTGGCTGTATTCCAGGCCGTCCGTGTACTGGACAGAGAAGTTCCTCGAGGACACCACCCTCACGGTCACAGTGCCAGGTAGGCGGAGCCCACCCAGCCCTGCTGGGGCCACCCTGGGTCCTGGGTCGCGCCACCCTGTCTGTCCTGCCGCCCCCGCCTCCTGCCTCACCCCCAACTCACCCACCTGTGCTTGGCTTTAGCGGGAGAGGCCAGGGGATCTCCCCCAACCCTAACTCTCCCAGGAGTCCCTGCAGCTCCTCCCTGCCCCCACATTTCCAGGAGTGTCTGTCCTCCCCCCTGGGGACTGTGCTCCCCAGTCTTCCAGGGTCTCATCCCTGGATTCTGTCTCCTGAGGAGGCTGGCCCTGGAAGCCAGGGCCCTGAGGCGAGCTCTCTAGGGGAAATCCTAACTTCCACGGCAGCTGAAAAGGGGGGTGGTGCTGACTTCACACAAAGTCCCATCCACAATGGCTTCTGCACTTTTGGAGAGCACGGAGGCCCTCCACATGGAACTTTGGAAAACAGCTTATTGTTGGAGAGAAATAACAGGGCAGCTTCCCCCTTGGGGGTTTTAGAGTCTCCCCAACAATGACCAGAGTCCCTGGAAAACTTAAGTGGAGTCGCTGCCTGGCCTGAGCTGCTGCTCCCACCCGCGTGGCCGCGCCAGGGGCTTCGGGCCTGTGGCTGCCGTCTCCACAGTGGGGGCCGTGGCCGGCGCTCCCCGCAGGCTGTCGGGGCCTCATGCCCTGCCTTTGCCCCAACCCGTGGGAAGCTGAATTCAGGAGGCAGGGAACCCTGAGGGTGGGCAGGTTTTAAAGTTGGGGCTGCTCCCACTTTTCACAGTTGTCTCCCGCCGAGTGGAGGAGCTGGCTCGACCGAAGAGGTTCTACTTGGAATATTACAACAACAACAGGCAAGGGCCGGGCGGCCATCTCAGGGCAGCCAGGCGGGAAACTGCTCTTCCCTGACAGCAGGTGGGGGGGTGTCTAGGGCCTGGGGCCAGGTGACCCCCGAGTGGGTGGTAGCGCGGGCAGGTGCACGCCGCCCCTGAGGGGTGCTGGCATCTCACCTCTGCTTTCCCTTATCACTGCGCGGAGTCTGCTGGCTCTGAGAAGTCAGCAATTGCAGGACACATTTTAATTTTATTTATTTTTATAGCAGAATTCTTTCTTACCACTAGAATTTTCACACCTGTCGAAAGTGATCTTTAGAGTTATTTAGACACAGATTTTAATCCCCCGTCCTCATGGATACATGACACGGAATCTATAACTGAAATAAATTAGCTGAAGTTTGTCTGAATGTTTTTGAATCACTTTCAACCCAGACATGTTGCTATGTTCCTCGTGCTGCTGTTAGGCCTGTCGTTGTGAGGAAGACAATTCAAACTGCAATTAGATTTAGCATCTGTAGCACAACAATGCACGTAACTTCATTGCGTTTATTCTGGTGTGAATGGCCACGTCCCAGCACACATCCGGCCGGCAGCGTTTATAAGCTGCGTCCCAGCCTCGGAGACATGAAAATATGAAAAAAAGTCTGCCCGTGGACTCACTGCCGGGGCAGAGGCACGGCTGAGACCTGATTTTAGGAATTGGGGGTCCAGCAAGTTCAGTGAAGTTCACTTTTCCCAGTATTCATGGCAGGATCCCTGGTGTCCAAACCCTGACCCCAGCCTCAGTGATGGGGTGTGGGGAGGAGACCATTGCCACAGAGGGGAACACAGGTGCTTGACCTGAAGGCGGACAGGGACAAGCTGGGAAGCGGCAGCAGCGCCCCGGGCCCTCGGGGCTTCCCTCAGGGGTTCTTGTATGATCCCCTCCTAGAGATGTTTCAAAGCCTCCAGGTCCTAGGCTTCCCTTATCCCCAGAATCAGGGAGGGGGTGAGAAGAGGCGCACCTGGCCCAGCGGGGGTCTGAAATGCCACATCCCTAGGACCACTCCCATCTGGCCCATCCCTCGGTGCACCCTGGAACACCAAGCGTCTGGTCGCCTGAGGGAGCTGGCTACCCCACGGATCCGGAATAACATTTGGAGCATAAACATGACTGAGGTAGGTTTCTGAAACTTTCTGTCCTGAGGGACTGGGGTAAAGGTCCAGGAAGAGAGGAAACTGGCCTCAGAGCAGCAGATACGAGGCTGTTTTACTGAAGGAAAAACTGTCTCTTGCTCTCATGGCCTTGAAACCTGCACAGAGAGCAGCTTCCCGGCCCCGTCAGTCAGATGGGTCTGGGGCACTCTGCTCACACACCCACTGCAGAGATTTAAAAAGTGCAGCCCATTCTGAAACAAAACCCTAATCTAATCCAGTTAAAGGCTGACATGTGACCTGGGGCACCGCCTGTGTCCTCTCCATGCCCACACACCTATAGCTCCCCAGTTCCCCAGGTGAAATTCAGATTCCTGAGCCCAGAATTCAAGGCTCAGCAGAGTTTGGCCCATCTTGAGTGTTCCTCCACCATGTGCCTCCTTGTCAGACCAAAGGCAGATTCCTCAGCCTCCCTTCTGTGTCTAGAACTCTCCCTTCACATCCAGAACCTCTTGCTCCAGAATCCCATTCCCACCACCCGCTGCACCCTAAATTCCCTCAACCCCTCACAATCTCTAGGGAGAGTGTGGCTTCTTCCACCCAGATGGTGGGCAACTAACTGTTTCTGATGGCTTGTCATGACTGCCAGGCTGTGTGAACATCGCCACACTTGTTGCCGTGTGGTCAGGTGTGACAGTGTCTTATGTGGCATCCTCAAGCGCATGCTCAACTTGACTTGAGAGGGACAATTTGCTCTCCAGAGTGTTTGTGCCAGATTACTCTCATCAGTTATGCATGAAGATTTTTCTCCTACATTCTTGCCAAGATGTCATATTTTTGCCGAATTTGTTGGCATAGAGTGTTATATTGTTGTTTAATTTACATTTCCCTGCTCAACAGGGAGGATTATTAGCCATTATGCTTACTCCTATGTGATTTGCCATGGCCGCCATTTTTTGTTGTTGATTTAGAGGAGCTCTTTATGTATGATAGATACTAATCCTTTGCCAAACACATTGCAAACTAAGTTCTTCTCATTCATCTTTAAATGTTTATGGGGTCTTTTTAGTCAGGACCCTATGAGGAATTACAGGCTATTTCATGCTTTTCTTCTAATTCTGTTTCCAGGTATCTCAGGTATCCCGGGCAGCCCAGATGGCTGTTCCTAGTCCGAGGATCCTGTGCTTGGCAAAGCCCAGGGTTCCAGCCACCCTGTTGGAAGAGTGGAACCCCATGCCAAAGCCTAAGCCACATGCGTCAGACTATAATCGTCTCCTTCAGTTGGCCGGTAAGTGGCTCCCCTGGGGCTCTGTTCCTTTTGAGGTCCTAGGCAAAGGGTGGTAGTCAGAAAACTTGAACTTTAGACCCACCTCTGCCAGATTTGTACTTCCCTTTCCCTCATCTCCTTCATAAACTGTAAACCACATCCCTGTGGACAATTCACACAGGCTGCTCCCCCAGGGAAGAGAACAGAAGCCAGAGGGGCTGTTGTGCAGATGCTGTTGCCTGGGGGACTCTTGGGGGCAGGTGGGTGTGCTGCTGATGTTTGACAGTGTCTGTCTGGCCTTAATATCACAAGAGGAATTTAGAGAGCGCGCCAGTCGATGATTCTAGCAGTTTAGTGAGGGTCACCCGACAGGAGAGGGGTGCAGCTGCCAGCCACACTCTCGGCCTGAGAGCGAAGGAGGTCCTGGCTGACCAGCAAGCCGGGTGACTTCTCACTGTGGCTTTCTGGGTGCTCAGCAACAGGAAGGTATCACATCGGGGCCGTGCTCCAGGCACCCTGTGACAGGAGCAGAATAGAAGTTTGGGGTACAGGGCTGGGACTAGGGAGCCATGCTGAGGGGCAGGGCAGCTTTCAACTGGTGTCATCTGCCTTTGTTCCCCTTTGCTTTAAGATAAATGACATTCCTATCCCTGATGACAAAAGCAGCACAAGAGCATATAAAAAAAGCAGCCCCACCTGAAATTTCAGCCATGTGTGTCCCCCCTGGGCGTGCACACAGGCCTCGGGTGCGTGTGTCATGTTCATCCCCCGGGCACACTCCTCCGGCCACACGCGGGCTCTGCCTTTTGCACAAGGCAGACCCTGCCCAGAGTGCACCCCATGGCACCCATGTCTGGTCACAACCCTGCACCACCCTCATGCTGTGCTCCCTGTGCTGCCCCCCACATTCCCTGTGGCAGCCAGAGTCTTGCTGAGCTTAAGCTGGAGTCCATCCTCCTCTGCTTCAACCTGCTGGGGCTACCACCGTGCTCTGTGCACCCTCCCACCCCGTGATGGTCTCCTGGCTTCCCTAGGCTCTCCCGCTGGGCTCGCTTCGCTATGGGCTGCACACTGGCCCTTCCTCTTGCTGAAACACTTGTCCCTGACGCTCACAGGCTCTATCTGCCTGGTGTCGCCTGCCCTCCGGGGAAGGCCCCTCTGAGCACCCTGTTTGGCTCCACACATGGAACCTGCCTTCCCATGTGTCTCTGGGCACCTGAGCTGACCAGGACAGGGGTTCCCAGAGTTGGGAGGTGAGGAGAGAGAATCTGTATGAACTTGTGTCTCTGCCCTTGAGAGGGGTCTGTCCACCTGGCAGCTGCTGACCACATGGTTATGTCACTTAAATAACTCAATTGAATCCATTAAAATTAAATAGAAAAAATCTTGAGCCCAATCCAGGCTTCAAATTCACATGACCAAGTCAGCCGTGCAGTTGCTCCAATGCAGAGGGCCTGGCGGGTTTGCAGGTGTGTTGGCCAGCAAGGCAGGAGCCCAGAGGGATGTGGTGGGAGATCTTTAGCCGACAGGACCCCACCCAGGGGGCAGCCCTACCTGGGTGTGCAGCACCACATAGGTAAGGATACCTCCCTGCCTTCCCCTCACGCAGGGTCAGAGGGGTGGAGGGAGGGCTTTGAAGGGCCTACCTAACCCCTTCTCACGTGGGCCACCAGGGCACTCCTGACCAGTCCCTGAGTGCCCCTCCAGCTCCCCATCTGGAACTTGTGGCCATTTGATTTTTTTTTTTTTTTTTTTTTGTTCTTTACAATTCACCCATTTGAAGCACACAACTCGAAAGTCTGAAAAATATCTTCACTGTGCAACCATCACTATTGCCCTGCGGCCCAAGCCCTGGGGCACGACAGGCTTGGCAGGCAATGCTCTAAGTGAGCAGAGATCCTGGAAGCCTTTGGCAGCAGTTTCCCTGCCCTGCTGCCCTGCGGGCACTGCTCTAAAAGCGCCATGGAGCATGGCAACTGCTGCAGGGGTGGCCGCCAGTCCTCAGAGCAAGCTGCCTGCTTTGGCAGTACCCCTGCCCTCCAGGGCCCCTGCCCCCAAAGCAGCAGCAGCAGCAGCAGCGCTCTTTGCGCCCAGGTTGCCCTGAGAGCAGCGGGCTGGGGCGGCTGCACAGCGGTGGGCATTTTATTGCCCCCATCAGCTTCCAGGGCTGCTGCTTTTAGAGCCTGAGCTTAGAACCCAGTCATGCCTCGGGGCTCTGTCTTCACCACCTCATTTCAGAGCATTAACATGCCCAAAAGAAGCCCCGTCCCCATCAGCAGCCGTCTCCTCACCATCCCCTTCCTGGGCACCACGAGCCTCTCTCTGGGCCTGTCCTGGACGTCTCTCCTCAGTGGCCTCACGTGTCTCCTTCTCTCCCTGAGCATCGTGTGTCCAGGCCCCTCTCCGTGGCAGCGAGTGTCACAGCTGCCTCCCCTTTCCTGGCCACTGGTGTTCCCGTGCGGGGGGACCGTCTCTGTGTTTCCACACTCACCAGCTGCTCACACGCCATCGAACTTGGCGTCTTAACCTAGAAGACCGATCCGTTCGGCATGCCTGAGGCCGTCTCTCTCCCCCGCCCCCTCCAGCGCCCAAGACCCAATCGGACAAGTGTATTCCTGACCGTGACCCGCGCTGGAAGGTGCTGGAGGTCACCAAGAAGGCTGTGGCCAGTCCCCGGATCATCTCCCTGGCCCAGCCCAAAGTGCGCAAGGACCTCAACGAGGGCTACGACCCCTACCACGTCTCCCCCGCTTCCTTGGTGGCGCGGGCCTCCCCACGCCTGTTTGAGCTCGCCACCCCCAAGAGTATCACCAAGAAAATGTGACAGCCAGCCTGCCTGTTCCCAGTAAACACCCAAGTGCATCCTAACCTTGTGTTCTCTGAGCGTTTGGCCTGGAAGAGGGAGGGAGGCTGGAAGGCGGAGGATAAAGACAATAATAATATTTATGTGTGCACCCAACCACATCTGTGCCGTTTTTCTTCCCACATCACTGCTCCCCTCGGTCTCGGGGCTCTTTGCTGTGAGACCCTAGCTTCCCTCAACTTCAGATTTTCCTCAGAAACCCTATGTCCAGACCACCTTATCTGGAGGCGTCTTTCATGTTCTGACTTCACAGTGACCTGGCTGGGGGGTGACTTTCCCCCTTTACAGAGGTGAGGACTGAGGTCAGGGAGCTTGGGGAAGACCACCGTCCCCACAGGCTGCCGGGACAGTCACCACACAGGGGGGCCTAGAACACATGTTTTTCCCTCCAACATTCCTTGAGCCCGGAATCCGACACAGCCCCAACGGGCTAAACCCAGGGAGAATCTAGCTCCTGCCTCTTCCAGCCTCTAGAGGCACCACATCCGGACCCAGGCCCATCCCCCACCCTCACAGCGGTGCAGGGTCTTCCCAACTCTGCCCTGACCCTCCTGCTCCCTGATAAGGCTCCTCGTGGGGACACTGGCCCCTGGGGAATCCAGGATCTTCCCATCTCGGGGGCCTCAACTCATGTCACCCTTTACCACATGAGGCAAGTGCCCCATGTCCAGGCTGGGGAGCTGGTGTTTGACTGACGGCAGTGGGAGAGACCGTGCCTCCCTCCGAAACCCCAGCCTTGTCTCCCGCAGGTTCTGACCCCGCCGAGGCCGTGTCTTGCGGGTATGATGCGCAGCTGACTGGGCCAGAGCATCCAGAGCCGCATAGGTCCCAAGCCCCGGCCTGAGAATCTATAATTATTGCTCAACCCCAAGTTCTCTGAGGATGTTACTCCACTCAGGACTTAGAGATCATCCACTGAGCTCTTACCGGTCCAGTCCTCCGAAGGTGTTCATAAGCGAAAGGCTAGCCAGCCCGCGCCCTTCCTCTCGAAGATGGCCTGAGGGTCCCGATGGACGAGCAGTGATGTTGAAAGAGGCTGGTCCCTCTGCTGGGAGTCTCTGGGCACCAGGAAATGATTCCTGAGGGTGGTGGGCAGGGAGAGCAGCAGGGGCCCCGGGGAGCCCATGGTGAGATCCGCAACGCCTGCTGTGCTGCCCTGGTGGGGGCCCAGGGAGACAGAGCAGCGTCCCCAGTGGCTGCACGGCCCCTGAGACTCACCTCCGAGCTCCAGCCGGGGAGTGTTGGAGTCTGTGATGCTTTGGGGGCATCCCAAATCAGGGCTCCTGTAAGAGGGGCACCCCTCGCTTAGGGGCACAGCAGAGACAGCCCACCCCAGGCAGGTCGGGTTTCATGTGCCACTGGGGTTCGGGGTTTGAAACCTGCACTGGTTTCGAAAATGCATCAAAAGGTTTGAGCCCGTGTCGGCACCAGCGGGGTGTGGAGACTGAAAACACGCCGACGAGGCTGGGAATCAGCACCGCCTTGGGAGCAAGGGGAGGCGCCAAGGGCCCTGGACAGCATGAAAGGCAGGGAAGCTGCGGCCTCTGCCTCGCTGGCCTGTGAACACCTTCACTTCAGAACACAAAGACTCCCTCCGGGGGAGACCAGGTCTCTGACTCAGCAGCGCTCTCTTCTGGGACGACCTTGTTCCCTCTGGGCTCTGACTCAATGCTCTGGAGCTTCAGTTGCTGTTCCTGCCTTGCACGCCCAGCGCTGCCTGCTGGCCTGACCACTCACCTGCGTTCGGCTCCTCTAAGAGCTGTCCTCCGTGGCCTGATCCTGCAGCAATACCTCTGATAGTCGCCCCACCACCTATAGGGCAGCCTCCTGTGGCTGGGTCTCCAGCCTGGGGGCCTGTACCACCTCAGCAGCCCCACCTGTGATCACCCCCAGCTGCCAGCGTGAGTTGGGTCCCAGTCCACTGCTAATAGGTGCGCCACCAGCTCCAGGCTGTAATCGGAGGGACACCAGCATCCTCCACAAGCGGCTTCGGGTTTGGATTGCTGGGCACTGCAGATAATATCTGGGGGAGGGCGAATGGACACTAGTGATTTTAAAAACTTTCCTTTTTCCATCTCTCTCAGTATCCCCGCTGTTGTCATACTCTGTGTCTGAGTTGTGTCTTGCAGTTGTAAGCCCACAGGTGAGGGCTCACCAACCACGGCATCCCCTAGATTTGCAGTTTCAACCCCACAAGGGTCGCATCTGATAATCAGTGTAATAGCCAGGTCCAGGGCCTCCCCGGTGGTGCAGCAGGCTGAGCGCAGCGCTATGAAGCTGTCTGCAGTCTCTGCAGTGAGGGTTCAATTCCCAGCGGGCCAGGGATCTACCCACATGGCACGGCAGACCTCTCCTGTCTCGTCTGCTGCTCCCTTCAGCAGTGTTTTCGATCCGTCTGCCTGTTCTCCTCCCCGCTCTGTCTCTGATGAATCCTCTCACACTCCCCGCACTTCTGGCCTATACCCCAGCTCTTGTATAAATAAATAAAATCTTAAAAAAAAAAAAAGCCATGTATGGTCATGAAGAGCAAGACCTTCATTGCTTGATAAGCAACAAAGAAGGGGAAAACTCAAGTTCAAGGTGTTGTAAGCACGCTCCCTTCGTGGGGCTGGGTGAGGGAGTGCCGGGGGTGCAGCAAGGGAGCTCCTTCTGAAGCAAACAAGTGGGCAGGGTTTTCTCCAGGAGGCCCAGCAGATCCAAGCTGGTTGTGGTTGGCTCTGTGATTAGACGTTTAAAAAGCAGGAGTACCTGCTCCAACAGCGGGACTAATGAGTTTCAAAATTGGCACATTTCAAAGTCCAGACCCCAATGGTGCTTGGAACCTCACCCATGCCAGGCCTACAATCTCACGCCGGGGGAGGGGTGGTCGGCACGGGGTGGGGGTGGAGGGTGCAGCAGAACCAGGCCTGCTCCCTGCACCCCACTGTTGAAAAGGCCTGCAGTGGAGCCAGGCACACTCTGGTACCTCCAAACCAGGAGCCTCAGAGCTTCTCTTACAGAAAGATATTTGGGTTGTGTCCAGTTTGGGGAGACTAAGAAGGAAGCCAGGAGAGATATTTGTATCCAAATTTTAACAGGAATTAAACGGTTGTGTAGTAAGTGTGTGTTTGCCTTAATAAAAAGGCACTCGGTCCTTCCTGGAGGCGCAAGAGGTTAAGATGCAACCTATGAAGCTGTCCACAACCACTGCAACACTAGTTCAATCCCCTAGCCGGCCAGGGAGCTACCCACATGGTGCAGCAGACCTCTCCTGACTCACCCGCTGCTCCCCTCAGCAGTGGATTTCAGTAAATCTGCCTGTTCTGTTCCCCACTCTGTCTCTGGTGAATCCTTTCACCCCCCGCATCTCTGGCCTGTACCCCAGTTCTTGTATGCATAAATAAATAAATCTTTTAAAAAATAAATATATAAATAAAACGGCACTCCTGGAAGCGGTGTATGTGTTCCAGGCATCTCTATCCCGACCAGGCCTTGGTATTGGCAGATTCAAAAATTCTGAATATGAGCCCTTATCAGGTAGATGATTTGCAACATTTCCTACCTGCTTGTGACTTAGCTTTTAATTTTCAAAGTGTCTTTCAGAGAGCGAAAGTGTTTAATTTTGATGAAATTTGACTTATTCTTTTATTTTACGGATCTATCCTTTGGTGTCACATCCAAGAAAATTTTGCCTAATCCAAGGCAAACACATCTGTGATGGATTTTGAGTTCTTTTTGTATGTTGTGATAGTCATCAGTCACGGTTGAGGTTTTTTTTTTTCTTTTTGTACGTGATGTGCAATGGTTACATTTTTGAAAAATAATTTTAAACACTTTGACAACTGAATGTTAACATGCAAACACACTTCAGAGATATTGTGGATTTGGTGCCATGATAAAGCAATGTAGACGATATCACAGTAAAGCAACTGACATGAATTTTGTGATTTCCACCGCATATGAAAGTTATGCATGCATTGTACTATAGTCTACAAATGTGTGATATTAGCATTATATTTAAAGAATAATGTCCATAACTTAAGATATTTTATTGCCAAAAATGCTCACATCACCTGAGCCTTCAGTGAGTTGTAATTGTTTTGCTGGGGGTAGATCTTGTAAAAATACTGTATCTGTGAGGTGTGATAAAGTGAGTTGTGCTTGTACTTGGTTCTGTTGTAGTCCTAAGTATTTTATTCTATGCTTTAAATAACATTGTCAGAAGAGGGATCCACAGACTTCACCAAATGCTAAAAGAGCGTGTGACACAGAAAAGGTTTGGCACCTCCACAGAAGGTCTTTATTTTCCATCCAAGAATAGTCTCAGGGACAAACTTCATGGCTCCTTATCAATACGCTGCTTGTTCTGCTCTCACTGTGGGTGCTGCAACTTTAAATCATGCTCTGATACTTTTGGTCTTTGTTCCACTTTGACAACACAATTAGTGCAGCTTTGTACTGGAAAATATTGTTTTGCATTTGTTTATCATTTGCAGATACATTAATCAGAGCATTAAATGTTCTAGTATTTTCAAACAATGGGTTGAGCTTTCCTGTTTGGGCCTGGCTGGGTGGCTCTTGCAAAGAAGGGAGCTGGGGGAAGGGCCACGCTGCCAGCACCGAGGGAGTGGGCAGCGGTCATGCCAGTTGCTCACAGGCGCCATCCAGAGCGGGCACACTGAGCGTGGAAAGAGATGGGATATTTGTTTATTTTATTTTTATTTATGCAAGAACTGGGGTACAGGCCAGAGGTGCGGGAGGGTAAGAGGATTCACTAGAGATAGAGTGGGGAGCAGAACAGGCAGACCGATGAAATACACTGCTGAGGGGAGCAGTGGGCGAGACAGGAGAGGTCTGCCTCGCCATGTGGGTAGCTCCCTGGCTGGCCGGGAATCTAACCGGCGCCGCAGAGGCTGCTGAAGCTTCACAGTGCTGCGCTCAACTTGCAGCACCACCAGGGAGGCCCGAGATGGGATATTTGTGATGAAGGAAACGCATGCTCCAGGCGAGTGCGCGGAGACCACTCTCAACAGCGCTGCCTGGCCGGGGAGGTAGGGGTGAGCACTATCCCTGTGCCGCTGTCCCGAAAATGTGAGGATGAAGGTTCAGCA